TATATTTTTTTTTTCCTTTTCGGTAAGGGGATCTTAACCCTTTACTTAGTGTTGTCAGCACCATGCTCTCCCAAGTGAACCACGGGATGGCCCTAATATTTTTTATTTTGTATAGAAATCACTGACTGTCTACTTAAATATTTGTAGAGACCAATTTAGCCCATGGAGATCAATCAACAAAGTTCATTCTTCATATACATCTCTGTTAAAATTTTCCTTCAGATTCAATAAAATTGAGAATTGATTATATAAATCAAATAACTCCTATAATTAGATAAATGTGTAAATGTTAAAAGTAGAAGCTTTGCCATATGTGATGCAAGAAAATTTTAACTGTTGTGATTTAAATTGCTTCCTTTAAAAATGTTCATTTACTACTGACGACCACTAAGAAACTACTTACAGTTTTTCATCTAATTACAAGATAGGCTGATTTTTCTTTTCTTTTCTTTTCTTTTCTTTTTTTTTTTTCAATCCTTAATAATGAAACACAAGACTGAGCGAAAAGAGACAAGAAGCAAGGGCAAACATTCAGTTTACTCCAATTTGAAGAGCCATTTAAACTATTTCCACTTTACTATGTCTCAGAATTATAGCACCATCTGGTGTTCACTATGCATAAATGTTATGAGGGCAGGTAGTGAAAAAGTCCTTTGTCACTTCATTTTTTAAAAATTTTCAGGCATCTGGACAAAATGATATAAGCATATGACAAAGGTGATAACATAAATCACATGTTCATTATGGAAATGTAGAAGTAAAAAGTGAGAAATCAATGTGGCATAATAAACCATTTAAATAACTTTCAAACAAGAATACTTTTCAAGAAAAAAAGGACAAGGGCAAAATGTAAGTTATTAAATGAAAAAAAAACTTTTAATATTCTAGAACCTTGTTAACAGACTATTTCAAAACGCAAAATTTTATAAAAACTAAATCATCAAATAAGATATTCATTATAGTTGAATACCCAGGAGATCTAATTATAACGCTTGTTGATAATACAGCTTCAACCTTTTATCAATATGCACTGCATTATAACAAGGACTCAATATATTAACTACATACATTTTATTATATTATGGCATGTTTAGCTTATTCAGTACTTTGTAACAGGTAAATTTCCTTATTGGCTAATGCCATTGTCCCTACATTTATAAAGATGCTAATGTTACTTACACCAGTATAGGCTTTCCCGATATCCTAGGATGTCTTAACACTTCTGACATTGCCTCTT